ACCCAGGACACGCTGGAGAGATTATATCTCTCGGCTGGCCTGGGAACGCCTTGGTGTTCCCCCGGATAAGCTGGAGGAGGTGGCTGGGGAGAGAGAGGTCTGGGCTTCTCTGCTTAGGCTGCTGCCCCCCCGACCCGGCCCCGGATAAAGCGGATGAGTATGGATGGATGGATGGATTAACCTGTAGTTCATTATCAGAAATGTCCAAACTCTATTGAAACACTAACCAGTAAAGTGTCGATGACTGTCATCTGTGTATCCAGAGCTGAGACACTCTTTAGTGGAGCAGACGGTCTCACCAGCAAAGCAGTAACAGTTGTGGCAGTCGGTCTTGAAAGACGTCCCATGGCCTGTCGGTAACACATATCGACCAAAAACATGTTAGAAAGTTGCTGAACTGAATGTGCAAGATTCATCGCTCAGATTTCACAGTGTAACCACAACCAGGAGTTCAGTTACATTAATAGTGTATCTGTAGTACCCATTGCTACCAGTGACACTTGGAATAAGTCAACAGCATTCACCAACTCATCACTGTGCTCAGACCGTAGACTGAAGTGCATTATTGTAGAGCTGGGCGATATAAGATTTTTTCATATCACGATATATTTTTTTCATTTCAGGCGATAACGATATCTATCACGATATAAGCCAAATAACCATATTTGTAAGATTTAAATGTGCCGTTGCTCACAGGTAAAATGTGAAATAATCAGCAGCTTGTTTTTATTTAAATATTTATTTCCCATAATAAGTTCAACAGGGTAGATGTACTTAAGGAACATGAGACTTTTTCAAATAAATAAAGGCAAATATTGCAAACTACACAAAGGCAGCCGCTAAAGCGTTTAAGTTTCAAAATAGAACAAACGAAACAGACTAAACTGTCAATTCCACTTAGAAACAAAATATTAATTCTAAAAATAAATCTTAGTTTGTTTTACAGAAGAACAGACAAAATTGACTAACTTTTGTCAATATCAAAGAGATTGAGCATGCACCAGTTTATTGTATTTCCAGACTTGCTTTCGGCACAATTTACAGTGCTCTGTTTTTTGTCAGACTTGAAATAGCCGAAATACTTTTACACTACGGAACTTCTATGGCTCTTCCATTCGACAATCTCTCTGGCGTTGGAACCATCATCTGTTTTCTCTTCGGTAACCTTCGGTCACGCTCTCGGTTGATTTTTCTAGTCGGCACACTCATTTCCTCCATTACCGGGCGGCACGGTGGCTGGCTGCTTCCCAAACAAATACACATGTACGGCTTGGCACTTGTGCTGTACGTAACAAGTCACGTGACGTGACGCTGCGGCTGTGATTGGTTTGGCTCTGCGCTACTTAATTTGGATTGGCTGTTCTTTTTTTTTTTTAAGAGAACAAGAGCGGTGAGGCCTATCGCAATAGTCTAATTTTTCTATCGAGAAAAAGTTATTTCGCAATACAAATCGTTATCGTTCTATCGCCCAGCTCTACATTATTGTAACCTTATGTTTGCATTCTAACGCGTTCAACACTGAACTTTGTATAGGTTAGTAACATTAACATGAATGACAATTAACACTGCTAATTAGTAGTAAGCAGACGTGGAAAGTAACTAAGTAAAAATATTTCATTACTGTACTTTAGCAGAATTTTCAGGTATGTGTACTTTACTTCAGTAGTTCTGATAACTTTGTACTTTTACTTCCTACATTTTCAAACAAATATCTGTACTTTGTAGTCCTTGGAGTACACATTGACAATAAACTGGACTGGGCTAAAAACACCACAGCACTTTACAGGAAGGGCCAGAGTCGTCTCTATTTTTTGAGGCGACTGAGGTCCTTCAACATCTGCCAGAAAATGCTGAGGATTTTCTATGAGTCTGTTGTGGCCAGTGTGATCCTCTATGCTGTTGCATGCTGGGGGAGCAGGCTGAGGGCAGCAGATGCCAACAGACTTAATAAACTAATCCGTAAGGCCAGTAATGTTGTGGGGATGGAGCTGGACACCCTCAAGGTGGTGTCGGAGAGGCGGATGCTGTCCAAGATAAAGACAATGTTGGATAACACCTCCCACCCACTCCATGACATGCTGGTCAGTCACAGGAGCTCGTTCGGTGAGAGACTGAGATTACCCATAATGCACCACTGAACGACACAGGAAATCATTCCTGCCTGTGGCTCCCTGTACAACGCATCCACTTAACACACTGTTTGCTGCTACAACTACACATGCTATTTATTGTGTGACTTATGTATGTATGTATGTATATATATGTATATATTGTACTATTCTTAGTTAGCGTATTGTCTGTCTTGTCTTAATGTTGGTTTATAATGGAGCACTGTAACAAAAAATAATTTCCCCCAGGGATCAATAAAGTATTCTGATTCTGATTCTGATTACATTTTCAAAACAGGCTGGTTACCTTAGGCTTAATGAATTCTAAGTTATTATTTCGTTGCTGTGGGCCTTCATACATCGAACCGATTTGAGCCTAAACACCAGGGGATGTTGCATGAAAACAGATGACATGTGCCAAAGCCAGGGGTTAAAGTGGCAGTGTAGCTAGCCCTACAGAAGGCAAGCATAAAGTGACTGATGCTTTTTAAGTAGCAGGTCATTTCAAATGCAGCTTTTCTATCAGCAAACTCACAAACTGTTTGTGTTGTCTTCACAAGGAGAGAGAAGAATGAGGGCTAACTTTACTCAGAGATGAAGAAAAATAGGGTTAGCTTTAAAGGGCTGCTCAGTGGTATTTAATAAACTATAAATGCAAAGACTGCATGTAAGCCCTTGTTTTTAAATGGGTCTGTACATGTGACACTGATTTGTTTTGTTTCACAATATGAAAAAACTCAAACTGAGGCAGACTAACTGTGTTATTTAAAGGCTGCATGAAAATCCTCTGCAGGTTAGTGTCAGATAAACAGGTTAGTTCGCTGCACTGTGATGGGTTCAAATTAAAGAACAGTGGCAGTGGGTTCATGGTCACAGTTAGCGTACATCATGTGCAGCAGAGATTCATATACATTTTAGCTGATGATGCTGATATTCATTCACTGAATTCCACCTTCATACCAACTTTATATGAACTAGAAAAAAGACAGGATAAACATTGTACTGTGAGTGTACTGTGACCAGGTGTGCCATGGAAGACTATCTGGGTCCACCTGATTAGATTAGTAAGCGACTGGCATGAGTCACAGGAGGACAGTACATAGCAATAGATAAATATGTGAAAAAGTAGTCAGTCTGACCTTGGTCCTGGAGAAAACTCCGAGCTAGATGAAGACCCTAGCATGAGCAGTGGTCAGGAGAAAGCACAAAAGGTACACTGGGGACAAACTGAGCCAATTCTGCTCTTATCAATGTCCTTTTTGTGATATTTTTGTTTGGTGGTGTGCTGTGGGACTTTTGTAATGTGAAATATCTACCGTGGCTCCAAAAGGTTGGAAAACACTGGCGTAGAGGATGAACTCGTGAACCATCTGCTTACACCTTGTTGAATTCAGGTGTGTACATCCACAGAGAGCAGTGAAGAAGAAAATCTACTGGAGCTCTTAATAAAAATAATTGTGAGTTATGATTCTTTCCCCACACTGAGCCACAACAACTGATTTTAGGGTTCCCCACCTGGTGAATTTAATTTTCCTTCTCTTTCTTCTGATTTAAGCTGAATCATTACGATAACACTGTGAGGCTCAGTTAGCTTCAAATGTCCTCTAAAGCTCATCTTTTGCTTTCTTACACTGAGCATATTTCAGAGTCTGTACTTTTTTACTTTTACTTGAGTAAAGAAGTTGAATGAGTACTTCAACTTTTACAGGAGTAATTTTTAACACTAGTATCTATACTTCTACTTAAATACAGAATATCCATACCTTTCCCAACTGTTAGTAAGTAATGTTACTGGGCCTGTGGAGGCAGTGGAGCTGCCAGAGACCAGCCGTAGTGAGACAGCTCCTTACACAACAGAACCAGCTTTGACCCTGATCAGATTTGCACCCTTTCTTTTAGATCCACTGTAGCCATGGAGGCAGTGGAAAGTAAAGATCTTGGCTCTATCAAAGGGATAGCAGCTACCCACTGGTACAGATATAAGGATTACTCCTAAGTCACAATCAAAACTCTGTTCACATCATCTCAGTGGATAGAAACACAAAGTTCATCGGGGTAGATACAAAGACTTCTGTTTTAGAACGTGCTCTGTGCACTGCAGAGGTTGGAAGCCTCAACACTGACGTTTACTGGAAACCTACACACAAAGACAAGTGTCTACTGTTTGACTACCACCAGGATCAGGACCCTGCAACTGCAGGAAGAAAACATTCCCTCTAAGGCAGAAGGGAAAGAAAAGGAACATGCTCTTAAAACATGTGGTTATCTTAACTTGGATAAACACAAAGAAACTCAAAGTTTTTCCTCAGCACATCCCATTGCACTTCAGACTCACTCCCAGTTAAAAACTGGTTTTTCTCAAACTCCCACACAAGCTAAGCAGCAAACTGTAATCTGTGTGTGGCAGGGGTGTGGTCTTTAGCTCTGCTGCAGTGGGACGGTGGTGCAGTGGGTTCAAAGGGCAGTGCCATGGAGGCTGAGGGCCAGGTGGAGGTAGTCAGGCTGATAATCTCTCTTCCCTTTTTAGTGTCACCGGGGACAGAGACAAGAGAGAATTGTGGGTTCAGCTGAAAAGCTGACCATGCCAGAGATGTTTGGTGCTGAACCATTCTGTGTGTGTGCGCCTAAATAAAAGTGGCAAAACAGCCAATTAATGCCGTGTCGGGATTGAACCATTCACAGTGGTGCCCAAACCCAGGCTCAATGTCCAGCCCTTAGTCCACGCAGCTGCTTCAGCTGCTGGCTCAAATCCTGATGCACCGTGAGCAAGCTTAGCGGCAGACGCAGGTGTTGGAGAGGGTGGATGGAGCCACCCCGATGCACCGGATGGCGGAGGGCAACAACCTGCAGGTCTTTTTGGAGACCTTCCAGGCCACAGCAGAGGCATGTCAGTGGCTTGCCACTGAGTAGGCGCGGTGGCTGCTTCCACTGCTGTCTGGAGGGTCTCCCACGGCGTCTCTGAGCCTACCACCAATGTACCGAGGTAGCTTTAGGGAAATTCACAGCGCTGTGCTGGATCGTTTGGGCCTCTCCTCGAAGTATCATTAACTGCAGTTCTGGGCCAGTCAGATGATGGGGAGGACTGTGGAGGGGCTGCCAGGGGATATGCCACGATGAGAGTGGAGACTGCAGTCACGCTAGCAGAGGAGCACCTGGCCATGGGGGCAGAGGGAGCAGGGAGTAGCAGCCCACCGGCCACCAGCACTGCAACACACATACACATCTATTCTTGGTCACACTATGGGTTGGCAATAATGACTATGAAGTCAACATCGGCAGGGGAAGAGCCACACAGGTATATCACCTCAACCTCCTTAGAGGATGGCGAGAGGCTGAAATCACTTCTCCAATGAGCCTGGTGAAGGACAGAGATGAATTGAGCTGAACATAAACAGCAAATTGTTCAGAAGGAATTGGCAGAGATGCTGAAAATGGGAGTAATAGAAGAGTCACACAGAGCTTGGTGTAGCCCCATAGTTCTGGTCATGAAGAAAGGTGGGTCTATATGGTTCTGTGTCGTCTACCTACAAGGTGGACAAGGTGTCACGGTTTGATGCCTACCCCATGCCCCGGCTTGATGAACTCCTGGACTGGTTAGGCACCACTCAATTTTTTACGACACTGGATTTAACCAAGGGCTATTGGCAGATTCCCTTGTCTGCAGAGTCCAAGGAAAATCATTCTCCACTCTGCACGGTTTGTACCAATTTGTCTCTCTTCCATTTGGCTTGTTCAGAGCCCCTGCCACTGTCCAGTGCCTCACGGACCAGGTGCTGGCGCCGCCTGCACCTGGTCACACCTGCTGCATATTCTGCTGCCTACCGGGCTGATGTGATCATCCACAGGAACACCTGGGCAGAGCATGTGCAGAGGGTGGGCACGGTCCTGCATTCCCTGAGGCAGGCCCCAAGACCAAAAAGTAGGTGAGGTGGTTCCTGGGGCTGGCTGGGTACTATCGCCGGTTCGTGTCCGTGTTTGTGTCCAAGATCTGGCTCAGCGGTGCGTTTGTGCCATTGAAAAAGGCTCTCTGTGGGGAGCTGCTGCTCAACACACTTAACTTTTGCCTCACTTTCATCCTGCAGACAGATGCCTCAAACAGAGGGCTCTGGCCAGATGCGGCCCAAGCCTCAGTCAGTGGCCTTTGGCTCTGCTGCAGTGTAGGAGGGGTGGGGGAGGGAGGCTGAGGTCCAGGTGGAGGCAGTCAGACTGATGAACTCTCTTCCCCTTTTAGTGTCGCCAGAGATTGGAGACAAGAAAGAAGTGTGGGGTCAGCTGAAAAGCTGACCATGCCAGAGATATTTGGTCGAACCATTTTGTGCAAGAGTGTGTGTGTCTGAATTAAATGAAAACAGCCAATTAACGCCATGCCGGGTCTGAATCGTTCACACCATGCAGTGCAGCACAGAATGCTCAGACCTCTACAATGGAGAAACCAAACAGCTGCTCCATAAACGTATGGCAGAACATAGAAGAGCCACCTCTGACAGGACAAGAGTCAGCTGTACATCTGCACTTAAAAGATACAGGCGAGGATGCTAATGTTCACATTTTGGACCAGAGGAGAGAGAGGCCATCTATGTTGTTGTAAGCCACCTCCTCTGTTGAACGACAGTCACTGAACAGAAGGGTGGGTAATGACACCAACTGTCAGCCACCTACGGTGCAGTCTTCAGATCCCTTCATCAGGCCTCCAGCTCACCTTGAAAGAGTTTGCAGCCAAGTATGAGGAGGCAGGAATGAGAATTAGCAATGCATCAAGATAATTATTGTTGAGCTTCTTAAAATTGGGAGATATGTAATAGAAATGGCAGTTAATGCAGTACTTCTGTTAACCTGTTAGCAGTCGGACGTACCGCCCACGGTACATTGGATGGTTTAGGGGACTAATTGTAAATTTGTAGGACTGCTAAGGGGTTAAATCCCATGAATGAAAGGTGAAAGCCTGCACTTCAAAAACATCTGGATTGTTTGATTTAAAATCTTCTTTCCTCGTATGCAGAGGCAAAATTACTAAAAGAATTGCTTCATTGTCCAAATGCTTAAAAACTAACTGTATACTATAAGAATTGTATGTCTTTAAGAGTCCTACTCTTCCTCTGTCCTCCTACTATGCAGGGCTTGCTGGTGTCCATGCAGGGCATCTCCACACAGTTCTCCAGTCGCCCACTGGGACCACAGCTGCACACCTCGAAGCAAACCGTAGGATCAGTGCGCGTAGGCACTTGGATACGAGCATCCTGTTGCACCAAGAACTCAGAGGCTTCACCCATTTTGCAGCCTGAAAACATAAAAACAGACTTCAGCCTCTTGAATGTGAATAATGTGAAGCTGCAGAAACGGACTGTAGTTTGTCTTACCTGGCACACAGAGGTATGGCTGACAGTTTAGCTCATCGAGGCAGCCCTTCCTGTTCACCTGGCATATGTGGTTGCTTGGACAGGGGTTAGGATTGCATGGATGGATAACCTCCTTAACAGTGTTGCTGCCTAGGGAGCTGGGTGCTTAATGGTGTGTGGAAAAGGAAAGTACCATTAATGCTTTCTGTTTTTAAGAATGTGAATAAGTGTTTTCAAAAGAAAAGTCTCATCAGGAGAAAAGAGACCTGATGCAAATCTACTATGAATTCTAATACGTAGCATATAGAGGCTCGATGTCCAGCCCTTAGTCCTATGTAATGGAAAGACAGTTCCAGCTGAGCCTGACTCTGTCTTTCCATTAAATAGGACACATGTGCTTATTGATCAGATCATTCAGTAACTTCAAATATAATAAGTGTTGGGACAACTGTTGTTGTAAAAACGGTCCACATGAACTTCAAATTAAAAGCTGAAACTATTAGAGACCATTTTGGCATGAACTGGATGCTCTAACATCCATGATTTGGGACTAGGAGCCAAAGACTGACAAAACAACTACAGAAAATTGCTGCACATTCTACTGTGCATGTGTATAATGTATGCTTTTTTATTGTATAAAGCAACGCGTGAATCTATTTACATTTGTACCATATCATCAAAACTAGCCTTAAGCTGAAGGTAATTAAAGAAAAAAAAGCAACTCAGTCATCTTGGCTACTGGTAACGTCAGGGGCACAGACGCTTGTGTTTTAGGCATCATTTCTGTTAAGAATAACTGAACTACACCATTAGCTTGGCTAATGTTCCCAGTGTGCAGCCAAACAATAACAATAATTAAAATAATAATAATAATGATAATAACTCTTTCAGTTTCTTGTTTTCAGTGCATTACCTTGGCAACAGGAAACAGCGACACAGAAAATGTCAAACACTAGTGACTGTAATCACTGAAAGGCCCATTTTGAAACCACTGAGCATTGGATCGGGATGCTAATATTTCTTTAAGTCTGCTGTGTTACAAGCAGCAACGTGTTTGCTAAAATGTTATTCAAAACAACATTGTAGGATGTACTGTATCCACCAGCTTCTGAGCATCTGTGCTCTGCTGCCCTCTAGTGGCAAACTCAATTGATTTTTCAAAAGTTTTTCTTTTGTTATTGAATTACAAGACTGCATCTGTTTCATTTACAGCTGATCCCTTCTGTTTCTGTATAATGCAAACAAACGCTGGAGTAACCTGACTCACTAAGGTATCTGTAGAGAGGGATGCAGTGTTCAGGGTCATCAATAGGCGACAGGAGCTCACAGATCCTCTCTGGTGTTTGTCCTTCGTGAAAACGTTTTGTATCTCCACACTGGGTCAGGATATCCACACAATCTGATCTGAAGACAGATAAAACAAATAGAACAGCTGGTACGTACAAGACAAGAAAAGACAACAATACTTTATTTGTTCGAGATTTTAAAATGATTTAGTTAAAGTCAGTAAAAACATTCTAAATAAACTAAAATATGTGTGAAGTTTGCATGTTCTTCCCGTGCTTGCCTGGGTTCCCTCTGGCTTCCTCCCACAATCCAAACACATTCAGTTAGTGGGGTTAGGTCAATCTAAACTGAATCTGAGTGAGTGTGAATGGTTTTATTTCTCTCTGTGTTCGCCCTTCATTAGGCTACCTGTCCCCGCCTCTTGCCCTATGGTAGCTGGGGTAGGCTACAGCCCCCCGCGACCCTGATAAGGATAAGTGGAAGAGAATGGATGGATGACAAGAGGAATATCCCAAGGTAACACTGAACCCGAATTCTAAATAAAATAAAGTGGGTACAAGTTTCAACAAAATACAAAGTAACAATGCTGTGTAACTTTTTTTCTTGTCACATCAGCTGATGGCCTCCAGCTTGCACTGAGGTGGTTCACAGCCAAGCTGAAGTGGCAGATATCACATTTAGTGCCTTTAATACTGAAGCCATGGTTTTTTTGGCCAGAAGGGGGAGTCGTTCCCACTCTGGGGTCAGGATGAGTTGCTGCCCCAAGGAGAGGATAATAAAAGTATCTCAGGGGCAGAGGGGAGTGGGAGAAGGACAGACGGACTAGTGTCACGTCTGCTGTGATGCAGAGTGTTAATCAATTTACAAAGCAGGTAACAGCTGACGGCACGCCACACACACAGCCGCCATCTTTATTCAACACAGGTGCGATAGGGTGAGGGGTTAAGTCATTGAGGACTCACATTCATTTCTTATTGGTTGTATTATGACAGAGCTTTACATTCATTATAGATATAACAGAGAGAAGTACAACAACAGTCATGTGAAGGTGAGAGGAGACCTACTTGCATATAACGCTCCCTCTGGACCTGCTGTGGCAGGGTTTGATCTGCAGGGCGCAGGCCACAGCCTTCCACATGTGAGGCTGACACTTCCTAATGTCCAGCACAGGGATGTTCATGAAGGGCATCTTAATTGTACCATTAGACCACAGCTTGATGTCATTCATGGCACCCTGGTCTGACTGGATGTTACAGCTGCGAAACAGCTCCGTCGGCCTGTGGACAGACACAGAAACACAACAGGAAGTCAATGAGCTGTTCAGCGGTGCACGTGCAGCAGCTCCCACAGAGGGAGCCAGAGATCCTCTGAGAAACGTCACACAGGTTTTCCCTTCTTGACCACATCAGGAATCGTCTGTGGAGTCTGATTGGTGGGTTTAGTCTCAAGTGAGTCAGCTAATTGGTGGTTTAAAATACCGACGGTTCCACAGGGAAGGTTCTGGGTGTGGTTCTATCACTCTGTGTGTGTGGGGATTGTGTAACCATCATGGCCAACTTAGGTTTGACTTCCAAAGCAAAACTAAATGTGGTAATGCACGGGTCAGGCTAACAGGAGCTTAGTCCATGCAGGAGTGCAGCAGTACAGAGTCAGGCTTTTCCATCGTTTTCTGACAGAGTTCTCTGAGAGGAATTTATTCTTAATGTGGCAAATATCAGTGGAAGTCTGCACTGTGGTTGCTGCGTAAAAGAGTGCAGTTTGAAATCTCCACAGGTACTGATACAGCTCTGCTGCTGTGGACGGCCAGCATCTCCTGGGTCTTCCCCTATCAGCCTCTGCGTCTCATTATTGCAGTGTCACATCCTGACACACACACAGAGTAAAATAGTGTTTTTTCTGTGTGTGTGTGTACCTCCCTGTGTGTGTTGGTGCTGTGTACAGAAGCAGCATTCCTCTTTTTCTGTCTCCCGTTTCCTTTTCCTGTTTCTCTGCTTTCTTCTCTTATCTTTCATCAGTCTGGCGTTGACCCCGCCTGCTCCAGCATAACATCCACAAGACAATAATATGAATAAAAAAATAAAACAAAAGCATAAACCAGAAAAAAGCCTCCTAGCCTCTACCACTGCACCTACACTGGTTGAACTACCTTCCTGATATTTATACTTAGTGCTGTGAGTAAAAGACAGGCTGCAAAGTGTTATAAAAGTGTTATAGTGCCTTTTCTAGTGCTGTTATATTTTTAAATAAAAAAAGAGGTTCAGATACAGCCACTTAAAATGTCTAGCTGCTCTGTGTCAGGTCCACGATGGAGCTTGGGGGTGTTGCACACTCACAATCACCCACAAAAAAAACAGTTATGGTGGGGGGAAGAGAGTATTGACAGGTGTCCTTATCCTGCAGATGAAATAGATAGCCAACTGACATGTCAGGCTGTGTCAGGGCTATCTGACCAACAAGGAGAGTGATGGAGTGCTGGTGGCCTGGCCTCCACAGTCACCTGACCAGTGGAGATGGTTTGGGATGAGATGGAGCGCACAGTGAAGGCAAAAGGACCAACAAGTGCTCAGCATCTCTGGGAACTCCTTCCAGACTGTTGGAAACCATTTCAGGTGACGACTCATGAAGCTCATGGAGAGAACGCCAAGAGTGAGCAAAGCAGGAATCAAAGCAAAGGCTGGATGTTACAAAGAATCTCAAATATCAAACGTTCTGAGTTAATTCATACTTTTTTGTTTGTGTTCATTCATAGTTTTGATGCCTTCAGTGAGAATCTACAATGTAAACAGTCATGAAAATAAAGAAGAACCATTAAATGAGAAGGTGTGTCCAAACGTTTGTGCTTACAGACTGATCACATGTGCGACACACCAAAACAAGTTTAAAGGATCTATGATGTCATTGATACCAGTGAAGAACAAAACCGTAACAGCTAATTATAGACCCATATGCCCAAAATATGTTGATCGGAAAATACTGTCAAAAACTCTTAGCAGTGAGGTTAGAGAAGCTGGTAATTATTCATGAGATCAGGTTTCACACAGAACAGGTCTGCAGCTGGTAACACGAGGACGGCCTGGAAGAGCTGCTGCCGTGTCTGTAGATGCCACCGAGCCGCACCTTTAGTTAGACTGGAAATGAATAAAAATGCATCGTACGTTTTAAATTAAATGAACTGATACTTTAAAAGCAACGTATATATTTAATTAATTATTACAAGTTTTAATGAATTCATGACACAACAAATTATTTAATGATGAACTTGATTTATTTTGGCAGTCATGGCCCTCCATAATACTATCGTGGGAGCTAGGACTTGTGCTCAGTTCAGCCCAGTTTGCAGTGGACAGTCTGCTGCCAACCTTACTAAACAGTAATTCATTAAATCTTCTCCCAGCTGCAGAAATACAGTCATGCACGACTTTTAGTCACAAAAATGAAAATGCACCAACAGTAATTACTGCCAGCAGCAGAAACAAATGGTGTTGCACTGGTGCAGCCCACTACGTCTCAGTCTTCCTACATTTAGTCTACAATACAAACTATCCAGCTGTGGCTGCTTGGCTCCTCTATCCTATGGAAGTGCAGTATGACAATGTGGGAAGGTATTTCTGTTATGTTTGTATTTGTCAGGCTGTCAATAACAACATCTGGACAGCCATACTTGGATATGCAAAATAAAGTAAAACATCCAAAAGTTTGGATCACCAGTAAAACCAATGAAATACTTTTTTTGTATCTAGTATTTATAAACATATAAAATCACTTGGAAATAACTTTTCATCATGTACTTCCTGTTTTTGAAACGCTCTGTGTGTGGGCATCTCAACAGGAGACACTGTGTACAAATAACACACACTATACTGCAAACACACATATGAACCTGAGCGACAGCCTGTTCTTACTCAAACTTAAGAAACAAATGAAGCTAAAAACGTCTTTTTTATATTTTCATGTTATTAATTACATAATTATTCAGTTTAAATTGAAGAGGACCTTTAAGTCAGAAGCTATGTTTCTTGAATTCTCCCAGAGTGGCCCCATTTCACTTCATCCACCATCCCATTCACACACCACTGTGTGTCTGTCTATTCATACATTTGTGTCTCCATTTCAGAAACCACAGGGTCTATTTATACACTCAGAAGCTCAAACTGCAGAGGAGGCTGTTCTACGTGGACCACACTCAGCAGTTTAACAGAGGTAAAGCGCTGCCTGAGGACATGCTCTCCCACACTACTGTGGAATAATCTCACTGGCTTACACCACTGATGGTGGCTCTTTGCCTCAAGTTCAACACGGTCCACTCAGTCCCTGCCCGAATGTGAAAATGACCCAGATACCATGACAGGACGTTTCTTTCTTGACCCTTTACTCCCAGTCACATTTATGGCAGCAGTTAATAAGTTGCTTAGTTAACTAATAATTAATGAACTCATTTAGTTAGACAATATTCTGTGGTTATCTGATTTTTAACAAAACAGCGAACACGTGGCCAGGACATGGCCTCCATCGTGCACCAAGGTCTTTCTATTCTACTTCTGGTAACTGGAGGGGAGTTTGTTTGGTGCTCTTATACAACTGATAAAACACATTATTTGACATCAGTTTATTGATTATCCATCTGCTCGATCCCTGACCGCCTCAGTCTGCACACCAAGTATACTAGGGCATCATACTAACCCCAGGTTGTTGTCTGAGGCACTTTGAAAAAAGTGCATGTATGGATGAAGCGAGTTGTTTCTACTCTAACTGAGCACCCAAGAGCTATAGAGATTGACAGACCACGTGCCTTTCGCGCATTGCATGCCGTGAACTCGTGGCAAAACAATCCAAGTACTTGCATCAAATGCAAGCATTTGCAGCACCGCAAAACGTTCATTCTTCGGTTCCAATACCTTCTTGTTTTTTCTTTGCCCCCCAAAATGTTTTGTACAAAACGAAGGAGAACAATGCCGGTC